GGGGAGGGGGGGTCCTAACCGTAGACATACCCACTAAGCAAAGTTCCGCTTGAACAATGTATGGCAATGTTTCTTTTAGGTGTAACATTATTCAGTAACTTCTAATAACGTGTTTTAGGAAAGTTTGCGCGGGCAGGAGGGGTCCGGACCGCCCTAGACCCACCCCCTGTAGCACGCCGCTGACCGACCTCATCTGACCCCTGGTCTCTCGCATATAAGGGGTCTAGATACACGTATATACATGATATATGTAACCGGCGCAAAAAGAGGTATAAATTATTGAAAGATTTTGGTTAACGTTTGGAATTTATGGCCTGAAAAGTGCCGCGCAGTTCCGACGCCCTGCCCGTTAGCGAACAGTGGCGTACAAACATTGCTCTCATAATATAAGAGCAGAAACTTGCTATACTTAGCCTGTATCCGGCTATAGAGAGCAGCACAGGCCTGCCCTTGTTTTTTCAACATATATAATGTGGTTTTTTTTGTGTTGTCCCTATCAATGTTTAGTGTTGATTCAGAATCGATGTAATGCGCAGCTCCGTAAGTGTTGAGCATTTTTTTTCTAGAAGCACAAAACGCCGCCGAAAATAGCACCTTTTTTGTAATAACGGCGGACAATAATTGTATTTAGAACCCCAAAGTATGGCTGAGAGGGTCTATGTCCCGCCGGGTACTGCCGGAACGGTACCTGTGTACGGTCCGGTATACCGGACGTACCTGGTACTGATCTAATATGCCGACCGTACCTCGCCTACTCCAACTAAGGATCTAGGAGTCGGCCTACGCTCTCACTAACCCCGAACCGAACCCTAAGCCTAATCCTAGACCGAACCCTACGTATCGTACCCTAACCCTAAACACCTTAATATCCTAACTTACCATTCAATGTGACGAGGGTACGTTCCGGTATAACCGGACCGTAACGCCAGGGATACAGTTCCGGCCAGTACCATGGGGGACATACGACCCTATGAGCCTCATAGTGTATGGAAGCATGTATATAAACTTGGTATTCGGAATCTTTTGAGCCAATACAATATCATTACTCTAGTCTGTTGCTAGTTTCTTGAGACAAATACGTGAGTAGTCGGGCTATGCATGTTTCCAGGGCATATTTAAATGTTTTATACAATTTTTTTTTTTTCAATAAAATGGCAGCCAAAAACCTTATGGCAGACATCGATTTTAGTGATTATACAATGTAGTTTCCAATTACGGAACAACAACTTGTGTTAAACAAGTTTAAAATTATTACTATAGTGTGGGATGATTTCAGGGGGGGGGGGAGTGGAAGAGTTGTGGAGAGTTCAGGGGGGATGACGTCATACACCAGACGCAACCGACCGCAACAGAATCGGACGAAGTTTTCTGAGGGAGAGGGGCTCCCATAAGCAGCCGATGTGGAGTCACGGGAAATGGCACGCCTCACGTACACGGGGCGCCGGGAGAGGGTGGCGCCAGCCGATGTGGGCAGGTCAGGGAGGTGCACTTACCACGTACACGCGCGGCGAGAGAGTGGCGGGCCAGCGAGCACGTGGCAGACAAAGGGTACGACCTGAGGGAGGGGAGCTCCCATAAGCAGCCGATGTGGGAGGTCAGGGAATGGCACCCTCACGTACACGCGCCGGGCGAGAGGGTGGCGCCAGCCGATGTGGGAGGTCAGGGAGGTGCACCACCACGTACACGCGCGGGCGAGAGAGTGGCGCCAGCGAGCACGTGGCAGACAAGGGGGTACGACGCTCATGCGTATACTCATGCAACCAAGGGGGTTGCATCATTTGTACACGTGTTAAGCGAGGGGGGACAACGGCCAGGCACCCGACGTAGTCCATCACTTCTGACACCGGCACGCCCGAGAAGGTATACATTATACTAAGGAAGCTATAGCCTACACACGACAGGGAGACGCACTGCCAACCCACGAACTCGCGCCGAGCCGCGAAGCACACGACTGGGAGAGACAGAGACGGCTACAGTATTAAATAGACTACGTCACGAATTTTCCATGGTAAAATTTGTAAAAAAAAAATTGCCATTTTTTTACATTAAAAGTAAGAACTAACGTTACTGAATATATCCTCAAACTCTCACCTTATAAAAATGTTTTTACGTTGGTTAAATTTGAAAAAATCTAGACGATTTGGTAATTTCTGTTGTCTAACACTATTCCCCCAGTACTGTTCAGATACTGGCGTCTCTCAGTTTTTTTTCCGGCAAATTATATATTAGGGCATATAAAGAAGGTATATAAGAATGAAAAGTAAACAGAAACACTAATTGTATTTTCATACATTTTATTTTGTACAAATAACACACAAATATACTACTTGATGGTGCTAGAATTCGTGACGTAATCACTTTAACCTGTAGAATAGCTAAGAGAAGTAAACGTGTAATCGCCTAACGAGATAACGACTAACGTAAACGTGGCACGAGCAATATATATTATATATATATATCTATACGCTATATTCGAGATACGTGCAGTGAGTGTTGTGTTATTCATGTTATCCGTATATGATGAATAAATCTATCAGTTGTATAAATACTATCTAAAGACTTGCGTTCATTTCACTCTGGGTTTTCCTGCTACTGCATCACCGTCGAACCTTTGCGGTAGGAGCGAAAAATGATCCCGAAACAAATAAATTCCACGTGCTAACCACAGCGCGTGGGAAAATCCAGTGTGGTCACCCCTAGCGCCACCACAATAGTGATAGAACAATCTTATCTATTATATTTACCAGAATGAACATTATATGGACAACCAGGATAGCCCTCATGGCGAAAAATGTTTAGGTAATTGACATCATATTCAGACATACCATTAATACTGAACAAAGAAATGAAATAATGGACAAATGGTTCGATCACTGTCATGTCACACAAGGTCTAAATACAATATTGTCGCCGTTATTTACAAAAAAGTGTATTTTTCGGCGGATTTTGTGCTCTAGAAAAAAATTCTCAACACTTATGAGCTGGCATACATCGGATTTGGAATCAGCACCCTAAAATTGACCAGAAACAGCAAAAAATATTATATATGTTGAAAAACAAGCTTACACTATTATGACCATTACGCCTAGCCTGGACTACTGTGACTATATTCCCCAAGGGAGCGGAGCGACCAAGCCCGAGAGAGCGAAGCGACCGAGCATGGGCAGGTGTGGGAGGGGGGTATCCCCCCTCCCACGGCAGGGAGCTTCGGCAATTTTACATTTGAAATGGTGCAATCCGGTGCATACTTTAGTCATGATTTCAACACATACATAGACGCTGAGTAGAGGTGACACCGACAGTAGTGTACGCACGAAGCAAAACAGGCTTTACATACAAAGGGAAAGGGTACGCTATGAAACGCCGGAATTAAACATGTGGCGCCCTCACCACTAAACTGATATTATTCAAACGGGTACAAATACTAAACGTACTGTACAACGACATATAAATACTGCTGCGATGAACAGAACAAGTACAGTAACTCTGTACAGTGTCAGTAGGGATAATATTAATCCATAGATATATACAACACATCATCACATGTGTACAACATATCTCTATATCTCTATGATTAATCGTAGGCCTAAATCGGTTATTTTTTTCTTAGTCTTAGCAGTGCTCGAAATAAGCGTTGTCCGGTTGTCCGAGACAACCAGAATTTGTGCCGGACAACCTAGCCAGTCTGAGACATTGTCCGGTGGACAACCAAGAAAAAAGTTGACGAAAAAACGCACTTTATTTATGTTTTTCTCAGGGGTTCTCCATGAGCACTTATAGCCTGGCGGCCCGCCATTAATCTATGGTGTGGGAAAGCAACGCATACCAGCTGCTATTTCCAACACTGGTATATGTCAGGTTTTCTGATTTATGAGAGGTGAACTCGATTTGGAACCAGCAAACCAGCAAGTTCACCCCTACATTTTGGTATTTTTATTCCATTATTATTTTGAATTTTCCGATGGCTTTGCCCATGCAAAACAAACAACATGCAGTGGGGATTCATGTTGATCCGAAAGTTCAAAAAAAGAGAATTGTTGTAGTCAGAATGAAGGCTGTACATGTACTCAAAAGTGCTGCAAATACCATCTCCTGCGATCTACATTTTCAAAATTTTCTGGGGGAGGACCCCCGGGCCCATACGCCCCCCCGCTTGTTTTTCACCCTCCTTGGAATCCCAGACCCGCCACTGAACAATTACATATCTTGGGAGCAGAGAACAATGAACAAAATGTCGCCTTTTCACATGGCACCCAAAACAAAGATTGCAGAGAAGGTAGATGAGCTGTAGGGTGTGGAGAGGAAGGCGGAGGAGCCATTAAAATATTAAGTCATCCACTATTTTGCGCAGTTTGCTGTTTTTGGCCACCCTTGTTAAAAAATCCTGGCTACACCACTGTTTTTGGGTGTTTTCTGACCATATTATTATGTGATTGAAAATAGGAGATTTGGGGATATTTTTTTGGGACAACCAGGATTTCGAGCACTGCTCTTAGTCTTACTTAGTACTACTACTAGGCCTACGTCACATTATCTTTTACAAAACATTATAGAAAAATACCTGTGGAACATATCTTTCCAGATCCTTTCTGTATCCGATTGGAACAGTTGATCATGATGGCCACGCAACGTGTCGGCATTTTGAAGCATTTGTCCTAAGCAAGGAGCTAAATATAACAATGTTATATTTAGCTCCTTGGTCCTAAGCAGGGTGACTGTACCAATATGGCGCTGGTCACGTGACAGTTGTCAGAAACTGGCGACGCTCCGACCCCTCTGGCTCTGGCCCCATGCTGCGCGCCTGTGTACCAGCGTTCTACTTCTATTTTATTTCTATGGTTCGGCTATTCAAGAATATTGCTAATAGCACATGACATATGAGAAATAAGCAAATATGTATTTCTCCTTGGTGCAAAAATCCGCCATGATTTGCTTGTGCTGCCACCTAAGACGCTTCCGATTCGCTAATAATTTCCCACGTGGTCAATGTTGTGATTCGATTGGCTACTTCATGCCTTTGCAAGCTCGCGGGATAGTTGATTTACGTTGAAGACCGTTGTTTGAATTGAAAAGTTGTGTTGTGTTGTGTTAGTGTTACGTTAGACGAGGGTATGTGTTGTTTATAGGTGCACTTCTAATACTAGTGGGAACTGCTCATTGACAGGTTCACGGATAGAGAACATGGGTCCCAATATTGCAATAAAACCAATGTCATTTACATCAATATAAATATAATATTATATCAAATGACAATATATAATACTAATAGGTTAGGGTTAGGGTTAGGGTTAGGCACATTGGTTTTATTGGGACCCATGTTCTCTATCCTTGCCCTTGGGCCCATTGACATAGGGTCTATGACTATGTCCCCCAGGGTACTGCCGGAACGTACCCTGGGTACGGTCCGGTATACCGGAACGTACCCTGGTCACTATTTGATATGGTTAGGGTTAGGGTTAGAGTTAGGGAGTAGGCGTAGGCGACTCCCCAGACTCGTTAGTGGAGCTCATACTCATAGGGTCTATGACTATGTCCCCCAGGGTACTGCCGGAACGTACCCTGGGTACGGTCCGGTACACCGGAACTAGATACAATAATGTAACCCAAACCCAAGAGGATAGGGTATAGGGTATCCTATCCTCTTGGGTTTGGGTTACATTATTGTATCTACACCGGAACGTACCCTGGTCACTATTTGATATGGTTAGGGTTCGGGTTAGGGAGTAGGCGTAGGCGACTCTCTAGACTCGTTAGTGGAGTAGACGAGGTACGGTCCGGCATATTAGATAGTACCAGGGTACGTTCCGGCAGTACTCCGGGGGACATAGACTCTCTCAGCGTTAGTGGAGTAGGCGAGGTAACTCGCGGCTAGGGCCTGCATACCTCCCAACTCTCATTGGTTGATACAAATATAGTTAATTTTTAAAATTAAATTCTAAGTAGGGTTAGGATTAGGGTTAGGGTTGGGGTCACAATGCACCATAAAAGGAATTATTAAAACAGGAATTTCAGGCACGTGATTTGTATCAACCAATGGGATTTGGAAGGTATGCAGGCCCTAGCTGCGAGTGGCGAGGTACGGTCCGGCATATTAGATAGTACCAGGGTACGTTCCGGCAGTACCCCGGGGGACATAGACCCTCTCAGCTCTAGTACTGGCTCTAGTCTAGGCCTACTCCACTAGCACGACGAGGCTTAGCTCCAAGAAACGGTATTGGCTATTGCTAGGGTTAGAATATACAATCGGATTCAATCGGATACAATCGGGTTAGAATATATTATAAAATGGCTCGGATATTTTATGCATCATGATTGGTCAAAACGCGTCACGTGACACGCCGTTGTTATTGTTATAATGCACGCCAAACCGTGCAAAAAGCGCGCAAAAAAAGTTATATTGCACGCTCGCAATTATTTGCATTAATTAAGCATCAAACTGAAATTTTAGA